CTGAGTCCTCTCATGGAGATAGAGTAGAATATAAATAAAGTGTTGTTGTTGTTATTGTTGTTACATTTATTATTAGATACAACCCAAGGTTTCTGCTGGTTTTGGGTCCATGTAAGGGTTGTTAAAGTTAAAGGTAAAGTTTGTCCCCTGACATTAAGTCCAGTCATGTCTGACTCTGGGGTGTGGTGCTCATCTCCATTTCCAAGCCGAAGAGCCAGTGTTGTCCATAGACATCTTCCTGCCGGAGTGGTACCTATTGATCTACTGACATTTGCATGTTTTTGAACTGCTAGGTTGGCAGAAGCTAGYGCTGACAGCGGAAGCTCACGCCGCTCCCCACAATCGAACCTGCGACCTTTCAGTCAACAATCTCAGCAGCTCTTCACTTTAACCCACTGCACCACTGGGGGCTCCTAAGGGTTGTTAAGACACCAGTAAATGTATTGTTGAAGGCTTTCATGGACAGAATCACTGGGTTGCAGTGAGTTTTTCAGGMTGTATGGCCATATTGCAGAAGCATTCTCTTCTGATGTTTCACCTACATTTATGGCAGGCATCCTCAGAGGTTGAGAGGTCTCACAACCTCTGAGGGTGCCTGCCATAGATACAGGCAAAATGAGAGGAGAGAGAATGCTTCTGGAACATGGCCATTTAGCCTTGAAAACTCACAGCAACACACCATTAAATGTTGCAGAAGAAGATGATAAAAGTTGGGTCCCAAAGACTGAAAGAGGACAAAAACTCCTGATCAGAACTAGTTTGCTGCAGACAAACAGCTCAGTGTTCTGCTTTCTTCCAGGACCCAGAAGGTCTCCAAAGTTCAGGGTTCGAGGTCTCTCTGGATCCCTCTGCCCCCTCCCCAGACAAACGCTGGCTTTGAGGACAGGCAAACGCCGCTCCTCGCAGTGTGGCTTATGCAGGACAATGAACAACCACTGCCTTTCAGCTCTGTCTGTCGCTGGGGTTGCCCTTTTCCTTTTTACCCCAACATCCTGCAAGGCTTGGATATGAAACTGGCAACCCCCCTCAACAGCATCCTCAACACTGGGGTGCCTGTATCAAGGAAAAGTTGGCCAGCTGTGCACTAAGCAGCTTGTTTTCTGCTGCCCTGGAGACTAGGACTTGGAACAATAGCTTCAAACTACAGGAAAGAAGATTCCACCTGAACATGAGGAAGAACTTCCTAAGTGTGAGAGCTGTTCAGCAGTGGAACTCTCTACCCCAGAGTGTGGTAGAGGCTCCTTCTTTGGAGGTTTTGAAACAGAGACTGGGTGGCCATCTGTCGAGGGTGCTTTGAATGCAATTTTCCTGCTTCTTGGCAGAATGGGATTGGACTGGATGGCGCACTAGGTCTTTTCCAACTCTATGATTCATTCAAACAACGTTTCTTAATCTTCCTAATGCCACCACCCCTTAATACAGTTTCTCATGTTGTGGGGACCACCAACCATTACATTATTTTTGTTCCTACTTCATTACAGTAATTTTGCTACTGTTAGGTATCATAATGTAAATATCTGATATGCAGGATGCATTTTCATTCGCTGGACCAAATTTGGCACAAATACCCAATACGCTCAAATTTGAATATTGATGCGGTTGGGGGAGAGATTGATTTTGTCATTTGGGAGCGGTAGTTGCTGGATTTATAGTTAACCTACAATCAAAGGGCATTCTGAACTCCAGCAATGATGGAACTGAACCAAACTTGGCACACAGAACTCCCACAACCAAAAGAAAGTACTGAAAGGTTTTGGTGGGCATTGACCTTGAGTTTTGGAGTTGTAGTTCACCTCATCCAGAGAGCTCTGTGGACTCAAACAATGATGGATCTGGACCGAACTTGGCACAAATAATCAATATGCCCAACACTGATGGAATTTTGGAGAAAACAGACCTTGACATTTGGGAGTTGTAGTTGCTGGGATTTATAGTTCATCTGCAGTCAGAGAAAATTCTGAACTCCTCAACAATAGAATTGGACCAAACTTCTCACACAGAACGTCTATGACCAACAGAAAAGGCTATGTTTTCTGATGGTCTTTGGTGACCCCTCTGACACACCCTCCTGACCCCCAGGTTGAGAAACACTGAACTACAGGAAAGGAGATTTCACCTGAACATGAGGAATAACTTCCTAACTGTCAGAGCTGTTCTGCAGTGGAACTCTCTCCCCTGGAGTGTGATGGAGGCTCCTTCTTTGGAGAGGCTGGATAGCCATCTGTCGGGAGTGCTTTGAAAGCAATTTTCCTGATTTTTGGCAGGAAGTTGGACTGGATGGCCCACAAGTTCACTTCCAACTCTATGATTCTATAAAAGGTGATGAACAGAGGCCTGCAAATGCAAGCTGGCACCCTTGGGGACTTTCCCCTCACTTTGGGATTTTGGTGGGGTTTTCTGCAGAGATAAAAGGAGTATAGTGTCTAGGCCCAGGGAAGTCATGCTACCTCTCTATTCTGCCTTGGTTAGACCACACCTGAAATATTGTGTCTAATTCTGGGCACCACAATTGAAGAGAGATATTGACAAGCTGGAATGTGTCCAGAGGAGGGCGACTAAAATGATCAAGGGTCTGGAGAACAAGCCCTATGAGGAGTGGCTTAAGGAGCTGGGCATGTTTAGCCTGAAGAAGAGAAGGCTGAGAGGAGATATGATAGCTATGTATAAAATGTGAGAGGAAGCCACAGGGAGGAAGGAGCAAGCTTGTTTTCTGCTTCCTTGGAGACTAGGACGCGGAACAATGGCTTCAAACTACAAGAGAGGAGATTCCATCTGAACATTAGGAAGAACTTCCTGACTGTGAGAGCCGTTCAGCAGTGGAACTCTCTGCCCTGGAGTGTGGTGGAGGTTCCTTCTTTGGAAGCTTTTAAACAGGGGCTGGATGGCCATCTGTCAGGGGTGCTTTGAATGCAATATTCCTGCTTCTTGGCAGAATGGGGTTGGACTGGAAGGCCCATGAGGTCTCTTCCAACTCTATAATTTTATGAAAAGGAGTTCAGAAGCCCTCTTCTACTCTCTCCTGATTGACCAGATCCAACATCCGTCAACAAGCCAAGCTCTGCCCCTCTTCCACTGGCCTCAACTTGGGCCAAAGATCCTCCCAAAGCCAGTAAGGAAAACAACCCTTTAAAGGCGTTTTCTGCTTTGGAGAGCTCCCTCTGCTTCATCTCAGAGGGAAGGAAGGAAGGACAGGAAGATGCAAACATTGCTTTCTTCCCAACCTCCATCCTGCTTCGTGCAATAGGGCTTCTTTCTATGACTAGCCTCCAAAACAGAAACTTTGCAAGGACATTCCTTCCCCACTGACACTGGTTTGCAAAACAAGCTGCGGAAAAGGAGGAAGGAAGGGCAGAAGGACTGTTAAGATGCCCCTAAAACCATGCTTGGGCCAACTTGGGCCCTCCGGGTGCTTTGGACTTCACCTCCCATCATTCCTAACAGCCTCAGGCCCTTTCCTTTTGTCCCTCCGCTACTTAAGCTGGCAGGACTGTTGACCGACAGATTAGCAGTTCGAATCCGGGGAGAACAGGTTGAGCTCACTCTGTGAGCTCCAGCTCCCCATGTAGGGACATGAGAGAAAACTCCCAGAAAATGGAAAAACATCAAAACATTTGGGTGTCCCTGGGCAATGTCCTTGCAGACAGCCAATTCTCTCACGCCTGAAGCAACTTGCAGTTTCTCAAGTCGCTCCTGACACAAAAAGAAAAGATACAACACTGCTTTGGGTTCAAATTGTTGTTTTATATACTACTGGTTGTTTTAGGCACTTTGTGCCATGTGTAAGCTGCCCGAAAATAATACAGCAAAGTTGAACATAAAATAACAGACAAATTACATCACAACAAAATACATAAAATAACGAAATAAAATAAACAGTGCAAAACAACATAATAAAAATCAAACACAAAGTGCGGATACAAAAAATAATGCTATATAAAGTTATATAGAGGGGGACAGCTGGGGCAATGGGTTAAACCCTTGTGCTGCTGAACTGCTGACCTGAAGGTTGGCCGTTCAAAGCTGCGGGTTAGGCTGAGCTCCTGCTGTTAGCCCTAGCTCCTGCCAACCTAGCAGTTCGAAAACGTACAAATATGAGTAGATCAAAAGGTACTGCTTCGGAGGGAAGGGAATAAAGGCACCCATGCAGCCATGCCAGCAAACACGACCAACTGGAAAAAGAGCACCTCCCCATGTTGTTGTTCTTTGTATGTGCGTGTCATTGTTATAAAAGGTATTGAATGTTTGCCGATCTGTGTATGTTGTCATCCGCTCTGAGTCCCCTCAGGGAGATAGAGTACAATATAAATAAAGTGTTGTTGTTGTTTTTGTTAGATACAACCCAAGGTTTCTGCTGGTTTGGGGTCCAAGTTGTTAAGACACCATTAAATGTATTGTTGAAGGCTTTCATGGCCAGAATCACTGGGTTGCAGTGAGTTTTTTCAGGTTCCTGAAGCATTCTCTCCTGATGTTTCACCTGCATCTATGGCAGGCATCCAAAAAAGCAAGAGATGAAAGGGGAAGCCTTTATCTTTGTACCTCTGAGGATGCTTGCCATAGATGCAGGCGAAACGTCAGGAGAAAATGCCTCTAGACCAGGGCCATATAGCCTGGAAAAACCTACAACAACCCAGCCTTTATCTTTGTTCTGTGTATTTGTGTGTCATAGTTATAAAATGTTTACCTATCTGTGTATGTTAGGAATGATGGGAGTTGAAGTCCAAAGCACCTGGAGGGCCCAAGCTGGCCCATGCCTGAGCTAGACAATATGACAAAGTAGATCCTGATTGCTTGATCTGGATTCTATAGCAGTGTAGATCCAGCCTGAGCTATTGAACATCAAAGGGAAGTCAAACCGCATCCATTCTACAGTGCAGATGCGCCCAAACCTTAACTTTCGAAAGAGGAAGCCTTCTGAGAAAGGAAAAAACCCACCCTCTCCCAAAAGTTAGAGGGAAGCCTTGGGAAAACTCCCTTCCCATGGCAGCTTGGACATTACTCACATCTTCCATGGTGGGGAGCGAGGAAGGAGGGAGGAAAAGGAGGAGAAGGAGCCCGGCAATTCCTCGGGAAGATGGAGCTTCAAGGGCTGCTCTGTTTGAAAGGCGACCCCCGGCTTGGCTTCAGGACTGCCCCATGGTCTCTGGGTCCGGAGGGCATGCAGAAGGGGTCCAGGGCGAAGAAGGAAACTTTTGGGCAGCCCCAAAGAGGAGGAGGAGGAGGAGGATCTCTGCCTGTCGCGCAAGAGAACTTTGCAAAAAGGAGGCTGCCTTGCAGCAGCAGAAGAGGAAAAAAAGCCTGAGTTTCCGGCAGAGTTGGAGCTCTTGGGGGCCGGCGAGAGGAGGAGGAGGAGGAGGAAGAGGAAGGCGGCTCTGAAAGGGAAGCAATGCCTCGCCCGCCCCCAGCAAGCCCTGCATCTACACTGCAGAAGGAATGCAGTTTGACACCACTTGAACTGCCTTGGCTCAAGGCTATAGAATCCCAGGGTTTGTCCTTTGGTGAGGCACCAGCCCTCTTTGGCAGAGAAGGTGCAAGACCTTGTCAAACTACAACTCTCACAATAGTATTGAGCCATGGCAGTTCAGGGCCCCTTCTACACTGCCATATAATCCAGTTATCTAATAAATAAATCAATAAATAATAAACCGAAAATGCGATGAAACAATGGAAAACTGAGTTGTTTGAGGGCAACGAAAGCTATGGAACTGTTAACATCAAGAGAGGAATTTTCCAGGGCGACTCACTGTCACCACTGCTGTTCATTATTGCACTGATCCCACCATCAGTAATTCTACAGAAAATAAACCTAGGCTACCAAACAGCAAGAAAATCACCAAAAATCTCTCACTTGCTGTACATGGATGATCTAAAGCAGCGTTTCTCAACCTGGGGGTCGGGACTCCTGGAGGGGTCGCCAGGAGGTGCCAGAGGGGTCACCAAAGACCATCAGAAAACAGTATTTTCTGTTGATCATGGGGGTTCTGTGTGGGAGGTTTGGCCCAATTCTATCATTGGTGGGGTTCAGAATGCTCATAGATTGTAGGTGAACTATAAATCCCAACAACTACAACTCCCAAATGTCAAGGCCTATTTTCCCCAGACTCCACCAGTGTTCACATTTAGCATACTGAGTATTCGTGCCAAGTTTGGTCCAGATCCATAATTGTTTGAGTCCATAGTGCTCTCTGTAGGTGAACTACAACTCCCAAACTCAAGGTCAATGCCCACCAAACCCTTCCAGTGTTTTCTGTTGGTCGTGGGCATTCTGTGTGCCAAGTTTGGTTCAATTCCATTGTTGGTGGAGTTCAGAATATTCTTTGATTGTAGGTGAACCATAAATCCCAACAACTACAACTCCCAAATTAAGTTTCATAACAGGAGCAAAATTACAGTTATGAAGTAGCAAAATAATGTTATGCTTGGGGGTCACCACAACATAAGGAACTGTATTAAGGGGTCACGACATTAGGAAGGCTGAGAAACACTGATCTAAAGCTTTACGGAAAATCAGAAATTGAAATCGAGTCGCTGACCAGCACAGTCAAAATTGTCAGCACTGAGATCAGTTTGGAGTTCGGCCTAGGCAAATGTGCCACAGTGGCATTAAAGAAAGGGGAAATTACACAAAGCGAGGGCATAGAGATGCCAAATGGGCAAACCATAAAGTGCAATCAGCCTGAAGCCTATAAATATCTGGGCATACTACAGTTGGACAATATCAAGCATGGGCATGTGAAAAATGTGGTCAGCAAAGAATATATCCAAAGAGTCAGACAGGTTTTGAAGAGCAAATTAAATGTCGGAAATACGATCAAGGCTCTCAAGACCTGGGCCATCCCCGTCATTAGAGACACGGCTGGGATTGTGAACTGGACACAAGCAGAGCTGGATGATCTGGACACAAAAACAAGAAAACTGATGACAATCCACTACACATTACATCCGCGTAGTGATGTCAACAGACTTGACCTGCCCAGAAAATCAGGAGACAGAGGGCTTCTGCAAATGAAACAAACGGTAGAAGAAGAGAAGCACGCACTGGCAGATTATGTGAAAGGCAGTCAAGAACCAACATTGAGGGAAGTCAATAGTAGTAAACTACTTAAAGTGCAAAAGACAAAGAGGGAATACAGTAAAAACACAATCCAGAGCAGAAGAGAAAACTGGCAAAAGAAGGCTCTCCATGGACAGTTCCTGGGAAAAATTGAGAGCCAAATGGACAAAGAAAAAACATGGATGTGGCTCACAAATGGAACTTTGAAAAAGGAGACAAAGGAGGGCCTGATTTTGGCAACCCAAGAACAAGCCATTAGAACCAATGCCATCAAAGCCAGAATTGAAAAGTCGACAACAGATCCGAAATGTAGATTCTGCAAAGAAGCAGATGAAGGAATAGATCCCATCCTCAGCTGCTGCAAGAAGATCATGCAGACAGACTACAAGCAGAGGCATAACACTGTTGCTCAGATGATTCATTGGAATTTGTGCCACAAATACTATCTGCCTGTGACAACTAACTGGTCCCAGGGAAGCCGAAACTGCGCTCCTCTGAACAGCGGATACGGAAACCCATTGGGCCCCCAAATCCGCGAGTCAATGGATCGCTTCAAAATCGGTGCCATTTTTCTCCTGGGGGAATTCTAAGACTGATGGCTATCACGCTTTCACTCCGCTTACCCCTCCACCTCAAGAATAACCATTTTTGCCTTTAAAAACATCAACATGGAGCCCAGCTAGCTCCCCGATGACACCACATCGTTGCCACCATTTTGTGAATACCCAGAGTGTCTGCCAATCCGGGGAAGCTGTCGCGGTCACCCCTTGGAATCCCCAAGATGTTGGCGGGCCGTTTTGGTCCTTGTTCAAAAGGAATCTGTAGTTTTCTTCATTTATCAACATGGATCCTGACCTCCAGCGCTGGCAGTCATCTCATAAGAACTCTAAGGACTCTGGGACACCTTTCCCAACTTGCCCCCATGGATTTTACAACTTTTTATCAACTTTTGCCAACTTTTAAGAACTTTTGAAAACTTTTTGAAAATTTTTCCCCAAGCCCCATGGACTATCTTTTATGATTTTGGGACTGTATGATTTCATAACATTGGTCTCTTTATGAACTCCGGTGGGTGAGATGGGTTTATATGAATTTCCTTTTCCCCTTTTCCTCTGTGCATGCCTTATGAACCCCATATATGCACGTATGTATAAAAATATGGAAAGCCATCTTTTTGTGACCCCAGCATGACAAACCCTTGGGAAATTCCTTCCTATTTCCTGAGATGAATTCCCCATTGACTTAAGGACTCCAACAAAGACTTATTGCATAATAATAACAATGGTGCATCTTGGGTTTGGGTATCAGCCAGCATATCAATGACTTAAATCTAGAAATAGCTTTCTAAGATCTACAGAGACACTTGCTGGAACATCTCAGCAAGTAAGAGTCCAAAAGTGGCAGGCTCAAACCCAGAACCTCAATCAATGGCTGATACCAAATGAGAGACTCCCCCCTGGGCACACAGAAAACTGGGAAACTTGGAAGGCGCTGAACAGACTACGCTCTGGTACTATGAGATGCAGAGCCAACCTTAGGAAATGGGGCTACAAAGTGGAATCCACGACATGCGAGTGTGGAAAAGAGCAAACAACAGATCATCTGTTGCGATGCAACCTGAACCCTGCCACATGCACAATGGAGGACCTTTTTATAGTAACACCAGAGGCACTCCAAGTGGCCAGCTTCTGGTCAAAGGACATTTAATCAACTACCAAGTTTGCAAACTTTGTGTTTTGTTTGTTTGTTTGTTTGTTAAAAATGCAATACAACTGTTTGGCTTGCTGCTGACACAATAAAAAAATAAAAAAATAAATTACTTTGCTATTATTTACATGATACTCAGAATAATACACTATGTAACAAAATTTGAACAATTTTCTATTCCTGATTTGAAAGTATTATTTCCCGTTTAACTGTGCTGTACTTACTTTGAAAGTAGTTGGGGTTTGGGGACCACAGTTTGCCCACTTTTGTGGTCCTTCAAATGCTAGACTTCAACTTCCAGCATTCTTCTCCATGTTATACTGGTAAGGAATGGTGGAATTTGAAGTCCAACTATATCTGGAGGGACACGTATTCCAGGCTCACCCTCTATAGCCAGAGAAAATACTTACTGTATATTTACCACATTTGAGGGCCAGAGTGAATCAGTGGTAGGTCTTACTCTAGTGACCTCAGTCATTGAATGGTGACACGTAAAGTGGTCATTTATGCCGGAGGCGGCAAAGGAGATGATGCATTGGGCCCAGTGTTGCTCAACATCTTTGTAAACGGCTTTGATGAAGAAATAGAAATTAACTACCCTGTCTAGTTTTGTGTCATCAAAATTGCAGATGGCACCAGACTGGACAGGGTAGTTAATATCTCAGAAGATTACACCTAAGCAGGAAAAAATGAAATGCAAAGATACAGGATGGGTGACGCTTGGCTCCACAACAGAGTTACACGTGAAAGAAATCTTGGAGTCTTCATTGACAACAAGTTGAACATGAGCCAAAAATGTGATGCAGCAGCTAAAAAGTCAGTGGGGTTTGGGGCTGCATCAATGTATAGTATCTACTAGATCAAGGGAATACATGATGCCTCTCTATTCTGCTTTGGTCAAACCTAGCTTGGAATTGAGACCATGTCCAGTTCTGGGTCCTACAATTTAAGAGGAATATTGACAAGATAGTAGGGATCCAGAGGAAGACGACTACAATTATCAAAGAGCTGGGTATGTTTGGCCTTCAGAAGAGAAGGTTGAGAGGAGACGTGATCGCCATGTTTAAATATTTGATATACACTGAACTGCTGAACTTTCTGACCAATAGATCACAGGTTCGAATACGGGGAGCAGTGTGAGCTCCTGCTGTTAGCCGCAGCTTCTACCAACCTAGCAGTTTGAAAACATGCAAATGTGAGTAGATCAATAGGTAGCGCTCCAGTGGGAAGGTAATGGCACTCCATGCAGTCATGCCGGCCACATGACCATAGGAGTCTACGGACAACGCCGACTCTTCGGCTTACAAATGGAGATGAGCACCAACCCTCAAAATTGGACACAACTCAACTTATGTCAAAAAACCTTTACATTTACTTATTTGAAAGGATGTCAAAAGGAAGAGGAAGCAGACTTTGTTTTCTACTGCCCGGGAAACTAGGGCTCTGAGCCATGGGTTCAAATGACAGGAAAGGAGATTCCACTTGAACATTACAAAGAACTTCCTGACAGTAAGAAGAGCTGTTCAATAGTGAACTCTCTACTTTGAAGTCCGGTGGAGGCTCCTACTTCGGAGGCTTTTAAACAGAGGTTAGATGTTAGGTTGCTGTAAGTAA